GGGCGACTCAGGGCTTACTCAGGCTGAGGGCGGGTCGGCAGCTGCATTGCCTCTTAGTCCTGGCAAGCCCTGACGAGTCTGAGTTGCCCAAGTTGTCATCGTCGGGCAGGCAACTCAACTCAGGGCTTACTTAGTTAGGCTGAGGGCTGGTCGGCAGCTGAGCGTTCACTCTTAGTCCTGGCAATCCCTGAGTTGCCCGACAAGCCCCAAATTGACTGACAGATGAGTTGATTTGCCGTTATGATGTGTTCAGACAGAGGGAACTGCTTTCAAATTCAAGACGCTGGCTCAGGCGCCCTTCCGCGGAACCATGTGTTACATGCCCGCCGACGAGGTCTTATCCTTCACACTGACTCCATGGACGGACCTCTACGGGCTAGGGGGGGCGACGCTGTTTGAGGCCGTTGAGAAGCGTCCAATGATGCCGATGGGGCCGCTTGCAGCTTCCTGGCTTGCATTGACTGACTTAGGTATTAAAATTGATTTTGATAGCATTGATGCCTGCGCGTATGTGATTCCATTTAATTGCTCAAGTCACTGCATGTCACTGCTTTACTTTCAGGATCGCAGGGCGATCCGGCCCATCCCGCCCAAGAAGGCCGTCCAGTGGAGGGCGTACGACGGCCTGCTGGCTGGCATCTTCAAGAAGTGCGTCGACAAGTGGAGCTGGATCAAGGGCGGCCAGGACTCCGTGAAGTTCCTGGCGGAGCTCATCCAGGAACTCCGCGACTACGAGGACACGATGGGCAACCGCCAGGGCCCGAATGCTCCTGTGGCCGCCGCGGAGGCCTACGCTTTCTGCCTAAATTTAATAGCTTGCCAAGTGCGAGTTGGTTGCCTTCGGCATGTAGGCACCAGACTGACTAACTAAGGTGAGGAAGATTCGTGCCTTGGCTTGGCTTTCATCTTTCTAGTTTTCAAGCTTCTAATTAAGTAAGCTATTAAATTGCTTGGCGTGAACTGAGGAAAGTCGGGCGATACGCCATCAGCAGATGCGAGAGCGATGGCAAACTGGGCGAGAGCCGCGAGGCGCATCATGATGGCAATGGACATTGACGTTTCCATATCTTGTGTTTGCTGTCATTGGCACGTTGACTTAAAGTATTAGTCTTAGTAGTCTGTAATCTGATGGCTGCTTAAACTTAGGTAAGCGGAAGAAGCAGCGCACTGGCCCGGAGTCAGCGGCGGTGGTGGGCGGCGACGACGAGATGAGTGACAATGAGGTCGTGGTTGTGGAGGATGACGAGAGCGCTGGCTCTAAGAAGGCCGACGACCCGCCGATGCCCTTAGTGGACACCGCCTGGTTGAGCTATCTGGCCCAGTGTACTGCACCCAGCCTGCTCAGCCGCCCCGATCAGCAGGAAGTGCACGGCAAAGGCGGTTGGCCGATTTTTGGCTGCATGATTGCTTTGTTAAGGGTTTTCATTATTTTTTGACTGTCGGGGCACCCAGGGTCGTTTATTTTTAATTCCTTTTCCCCCCCTCCCCCGAAAGCCCCGCAACTCTTATACGTCGGGGCACCGCAACCGCTAAACGTCGGCACCGCAACCGCTATACGTCGGGCTCTCGCCCAGTGAACCTAGGTTCGTTTACGGGTGTGTTTGGTGGCGAGGGGTACCCCCCTCGTCGGGGGGGGGCTCTCGCCAACCGAACCTAGGTTCGTCTGGCGAGGGCTACCCCCTCCGTTACGTACAGTGACGCAGGGGGGTAGCTCTCGCCACACACTTGTAACGGGGGGGGTGGCCCTCGCCAGACGAACCTAGGTTCGGTTGGCGAGAGCCCCCCCCCGACGGGGGGGGTACCCCTCGCCAGGGAACGCTCCCAGTGGCAAGATGTGTTTTACTTTTTGGCAGCCAAGGCGGTGACGACCTGCAGTGGACCTGGCCTGACCAGCCTGGAAGGCAGCACCTGAGGTCTTCTTCTGACCGCCGCCGGGCCGCTGAGCGACTGACCTGCCAGTGAACAAATTATGCTTGGGCGGCTGTGAGCTGAAGTTGGCTAGTCACTAGTCTGTCAGTCGTCAATGTTTGAAGCTAGGCGCCAATCTAAGAAATTTGATTGACATTGTCAGGCGGCTGAGCAGTCATTGAGGCCAAGCATTAGCTCAAAGGTTTGCAGCAAACAGGTTCATATTCCCGCAGGTTGGGCTCAGTCGGCTGTCGGCCTCTGGCACAATGCCGGAGCATTTCAGCAAATGGAAGCTGAACAAGGCTGAGCAGAAGTCAGTCGAGGAAGAGGAGAAAAGGGTCTACGCGGAGCGCAAGACTGCTGGCGATTCAGACGAGGACGCTCAGAAGGCAGCTTCAGAAGCCGCGGCCAAACCATGATGTTTTTTGAAGCCCTGTCGTTTTCACGTGCAAATCCATCAGAAAATGCAGTCTGTCTTGCCTTTCGTCAGGCTCTGAAGGAAGCAAAGATGGTGAAGAGCCAGGTCAAGAAGAACCAGCCACAGTCGGCGGCGGCGGCTATCGATGCTCCGGAAACGGCGCCTCAGAACAACACCCAGTACTACGAAGCGCTCATCGACGCCGTCAACGTGATCCTTCAGTGCCCCACCTTCGTTGACCTTCAGACGACCGCTGCGCCGCTGCCGATCAACACCAAGCCGGGAGAAGACCAGTCAGGAGTTCAGGCGGGAAGGTTTTAGTGCATTGGCGGATTAAACCTAGCCTGCATCTTCATTCGACACTAGTACTACTCCGTATCTGTGCTCCGGCCTTTCTACTTACCAATTTTACCGCGAAACAAACAGCATACATGACGACAATTAACAATCCACTACGCGGAACATCCTTTGCATGCTGCAATGGTCAGTTTGACAGAGTTTGACCGTGTTGCTCCCATTGTGCTGATTACACCAGTTTGACACCACTTCTGGGCAACCAACAACGAGTGCAAAAAACAACACAAACGCCCGCAAATACAAACAAGTTGCCTCAACTCATAATGCAAAACCAGTGCATTTCCTGCATGCGCAAGGTGTCTGCGGGCAGTTCGTGCCAAAACACTGAATTGCTGCAAACGTACCACTTGTCTAAAACAACGAGACATTTCTGGTAGAGCGAATAGTTGTTTTTCAGCTTGAATTACACTGGTCAATCTGCCAGGCAGTCTTCGACCCACGGGAGTGCAAGGCAGCATTGACGAAGGAAGGATGCTACAGGGCCGCGATCAACTTGATGTGGATTGACCCATTTGGGTCCACAACGCCCACAGTACCGCTCAGTGTGGAGAGGGTCCGGGAACTCGGGCAATTTGCTTGTCCCGCCGGGGATGCAAAGCACTTGACCGAGAACTTCACAGTCGCGGTCGACAGCCCGGACCAGGACATGCTGGATAGCAAGGGGAAGTGGAAGGCTGTGAGCCCGGAGGAAATGCAGCACGCCTTGCTGTTCACCTTAGCGGATGTCATCAAAGACCAGGCAGGTGTTCGGAAATTAGCTAGCGACGAGAGTTTCGCGGTTTTCAGACACGTTTACTGACTGACAGGGATTTATTAGCTACTTAGAGGGTAATTTTGTTTGTAGTCTTCGGACGCATTTAGTGACTGATGTTGAAGCTGCTAAGGCGCCTGATGAGAAGCTTGCTGCCTGGCGCCGGGTCTTTTTGTCGGCGCCGGCAGTGTTCACAGTGGTGGGCGGGGGAGACAGCTTGTACTGGCACAGCTTCCACCGTGGTGCAGACTTACGACTCCCTCAAGAGAAGCGCTCGACAACTCGCTTTTGAGGCGACTGCCTTCAAAAACAAGAAGGAGTCCGAGGCTGGCGAGAGACTTGGAGTTAAGGAGGCGCAAGACATCTTCCGGTCCAAGGCCCACCCCATGGCGAAATCCTCCGTGAAAGGCGACATGGCGGATGGATTCGTGAAGGACTGCCTGTTCGTCTATGAGAAGTTGCTCGTGGACACAACCTGCAACGAGGTGCTGGACAAGTTGAAAAACAAGTATGGCTTGGAGTCGCCATTGAACTCCCTTCAGAAACTTCGGGCGCTGATTGAAAAAAGCGAGAACATGGAGACCAGGCCGGGGAACAGCGCTGCCATCGGACTTTCTGAATCTGCGCAATTGCTTTTATTTTTGCTTTGCGACCATCTATTGAGGCAATGGATTCTGAAAGTGATTTGCGACATGGTGGAGGGAGGAGCGCTTGAGCGCGAGACCATCACCAAGACCTACCTCGCTGGGACGCCCACAGCCGCATCGCTGGTCGAGCTGTTGAAGCTGAAGCGAACTGTGGCGCATCACTTTTTGCAGGCAAGAGAAAAGTGGCCTGAGAGCGAGTTGTCCATCAACAAACACTTGTTGAACACGGCCCTCTTCAGTCTTGGCAAGTAAACTAACTTATCAACATGGATCTGTGGTTCAAGTTTATTGTGTTCAATGGCTGCTAGGCTTCTGAAAAAATGCGTGGTGTTAGGCATTGCATTGATGGACTCAGGTGGAGATGCCACGCAGCCAGTTCGACACTCAGGACCTTGCCAAGATCCACTCGAAGATCATGACGATTTGCAGCTACCGGAAATACGTGACCGCTGCTAACCTTGAAGGTCCATCTGAAGTTCAATGGATGTCTTCGTTGAAGCGCTCCAGCATGCTTGTGCTGAGGTTGATCGAGGTGGGGGGGGCAATGCAATCTTAAAAGCATTATTGGCAATGGCCCTTGGCGCGAAGGACATCCTGCACACGACGACGCTCAACGGCCCCTTGATTGCTCTTCTGAAGAAAGGAAAGGGAGCCAACCCGCTTGAGCTGCTCGAGATCGAGACGTTCAGTCTACGATGGAAGGCTTGCGTGGCAGCAAAAGACAATGAACTAGCTGCAGAGAAAGCGCTCTACAAGGCGGCCGAGGAGGAGCAGGACGAGCAGGACGAGTGCACGAAGATCGCGCAGGGCAGCGTGGCTCCGCAGCCTTCAAAGTACCCCAAGGGCTCGGCTGAGTGCCTTGGAGAGAATTGAATTTGACGTTGCTTTGCTCGTGCGAGCGTGCGCCATTGTTGCGGCAATGCATGAGCAGTCAACGAAGGCGTTGGACAGCGACGGCAGCGCAACAGGTTGCGATCTATGTGCCGTTGCCCGGGCCGTAGGGGATAGCGGCCCGAATGGCGACCTCCGCGGCGTGCAGGGCAAGAGCGGTGTCATGATCCACTTTGACGCCAACCTGTTTGCAGAGGCCGCCAAAAGGCCTGACCGAAGGTTTCCGCCACTGAGCCCAGCCCTCATGAAAAAGTTGATCCACGGCAGCATCAAGGGCCGCGGCGGCCTGGCGAACAAGAAGGTGGCAGAGGATCACTTCGACCGTCCAATTGACGGAGACTTCATTTTCTTGAACGATGCTGGGCGGAACGTGCTGGAGAGCCTCTTGGCGCCGTTCAAGTCGAAGGATGGCAAGGGGGCCTTGGCGCACTACCTGGAGCACACGGAGATCACGCTGTGCCTCAGCCAGGACGACGATGTCCGTTTCAAAATTCGATTGTGTACTTATAAATTCGTCAAATTTGAAAGCTTTGGTCTTCGCTTTCATCGGTTTTACTTGTCTTTCAATCCTGTCGAGGAGTCAATGGAAGGAAAGAAGAAACTGAACCGCGGCATGATCAACCAGATTCAGCGCTGGCACGTGATCAGCACCGAGCCCATGTCCACTTGGCTGCCAGAACGCAAACACACCAAATTCCCCGGCTCCAACCAAGGGAATTGCATCGGCTGGATTGGTTTGGGCAGCGCTTCGGATGAGTGGACTTTAACTGTGACCAATAAGCAGCCCGACTCAAATTTAATCGTGCCTTTAAATAGTAGCATGTTTGGGGGCCTCAATCATATGCGTCGCCCGATTTGTCAGGAAAGAGATGTACGGAGACAAGATGATGGGCGCAGATTCTGCCGAGGACCCAAAGGAGAATGAAGAACAGCAGCGAGACGGTGACTCTTATGAGCCTGCCTTCTTCAACCACTTGCCGGTGACGCTGTACTCAGACGCCCTGGCCGCGTACGAGATCACAGGCGTGCTGGATTGCACGCCAGGCGCAGGAGATCTGGCCAAGGCGGCCTTGCTGCGGATTCCTTACATGGCCCTGACCATGACAGAGACTCACGCTTCGCTTCTCCAGAGTGAGCTGGTCAAGTTTGTCAAGCAACAGATGCAGACAGAAGGGTCTACGTTCTACGCGCCTGAGTGGGCGGCAGCTGGCAAGAAGGATGCGGAAGCCGAAAAGGGCAAGAAGACGCCAAAGCGGCCGACGCCCGCCCCCGGAGATCCGGCGCCTGAGCCGGAGCCTAAGAAGCCAAAGACGACGAATAAGAAGACGGGGAAGGCGGAGAAGAAGCAGAAGAAGGAAAAACCGACTGGCAACGCGCCGCCGGCCTCCCAGCTGATTGACGATTCTGAATCAGACTCGGCCAGTCAGTGAGCATACTAGGCTAGGCCGCAGCAATCCTGGCTGCTTTTTGTTCAAGACGCTTAGGCCCAGACTTCCGCGGCGGATCAACTATCAAATATGTTTTCTTCGGCGGCGCAACGTCGTGGGTGAAACACCGTCCTTGCGCCGGGCCTTACTAGGGTCTTGTGTCCCTGCGAGGCCCGGCTAGGGGACGGCGTCGGTGTTTTGAACTATTGAAACTTACTGCTGGCTTTGCTCAAGTTAATATTAAGCAGAGGCATCAATGTAAATTGGAAGCTGCTGAGCTGAAGACTGGGCGAAAGGACACCTTATTAGGGCTTTGAGTGACTGGATTGAGCTTCAATCTGAATCACAATGACGAGCGACACAAACTTCAGAGCGGTGTAAAATAATGTGACTGCAGCGCCTAGGCTTAGGTTTCCGCAACTGAGTGGTGACGAGGACATTTAATCCCCCCTGCGAGTGCCTCGTCATTGTCATTGCTCATGTTTTGTCTTTCTTGCGGGGCGGCTTGTTCTGAAAATTGTTGCAGATCAGTACATGCTCAAGAGAAGCGGCATGTCAATCAATAGTAGGCAAGATGGACCTCGATTTTGCCATGGCTTCAGAGCCCGCGAAAGAGAAGAACGGCAGAAAGAGGCACAAAGACCAGAAGGCGTGCGGGCACAAAGGCGACGCCAAGAAGGTCTTGAAGACGGCTAAGACCAAGACGAAAACCAAGGAAGCAACGCCTACGCAAGCAGCTGCCAAGACTTCGAAGAAGCGGCCAGCCGGCGACCTTACGAACAGTGACCAAAGGATCCTTGCTTTCAATCAGAGTCTGTCAGCAGTGATGCCTGTCAAGGCTTGACTGAACGAGCTGCGTTTTTGCGAGCTAAGGAAGTTTGCTGAAGCCCTGATTGAGCAGCTTGAGAAGAAAGCCGCAAACAGTCGCCTTGGCCGCGAAACTGGACCTGGAGAAAGGGCTGCGGCTCCGTCTGTGGTCCGACTTGGGTCTGACTGCTCGGGTTTGTCCTCCGACTTTGTCAGCTTGAAGCTGGCCTTCGGCCAGTCAATTCGGGTGAGCACTGCTTTCATTTCGGCCGCCTGCTTGCATTGCGGCACTCCGTTTTGTCAAAATTGTTGCTGGGCTGGAACCTTGAGCCAAGGACATCGACCCCGCCAGGAGGAAAATGGCCTTGCAGATGCACGCGCATTTTGGAGATACGCCAGTTCCTCATCTCATTTAGATTTAGACGAAAGTTTTTGTGTTTTCTGCTTGCTTAAATCCAATAGCAAGTTCGAAATTCAGGAAAAGGTGTACGATGACATCACCTCGCGGGACAACTCCAGCGCTCCGGCCTGTGACCTTTACGTCAGCGGAGCTCCTTGCCCAGCATTTTCAAGCGCTGGTCGCCAGCAGTCGCTAGGAGATGTTCGGGGCTGCGTTTTGATACACAGCCTCGATTACGTCGTGGAAAAGAGGCCACGGCTCGCAGTGTTTGAAAATGTGCGGGGGCTTAGCGGCCCGAAATGCAAAGCGGTGCTGGATGCGGTGGTGAAGATTCTGCGCCTCTGCAATTACTCCGTACGGGCCCAGGTCCTCGACACGAAGGTCCATGGGGGAATCCCGCACAGCAGGCCAAGGCTGTACCTCGTGGCCGTCTCAAAGGCATGGGCAGTGAAAGAGGAGATGCGGCGTGTCTTTCCTGATCCTATCACTTGCCCTTCGCTCAGCCGCTTCATCATCAACAACGTGCAGCAGAAGCGGGATGTCACAGACTTGGCCCTGAAGAACATCAAAGCTGCCAAGGAATTTGCTGAAGCGAAGGGCTGGGATGTGAAGAGGCAGATCGTGTGCGACGGTGGGGCGACAGAAATGTTTCGGTGTGTCATGCTGGAGTGCAGGCCACGCTTGACAAAGTCCAGGGCATCGTCAAATGGACATTTCCTAGTGACGCTGAATCGATGGATGAACATCTGGGAAATGGCTGCGCTGCAGGGATGGCCAAAAGTGCTGGTGGATGAGGTCCTGCAGTCGTTTCCTGCCAGACAAATGGGCGCGACCATTGGCGACGGAATGTCGCTGAGCATTTTGCAGCGGATGCTTCCTCGGGCGATGCTGGCCTCCCAGCTCATCAGTAAGCTTCCACATGACATTTCCGCCAAGGTGAAAGGCCATTTGCCAGACGCAGTGTACGGTTTGGTTTCACCCGGACATGAACAAGGCGCTCTGTGGCGATGATGCCGCACGCCGCCCAATGATGTAATTTGAAATACTAAATTCAGTAGGCGGCTGCTCTGGCAAGGGATGACCCGCACCATGTCGCTTGGCCGAAAACGCGCGATGTCTAGCTTGGATTTGTCCAATGAGCTTGTGGACTTGCTTGCCCCTCCGGCGCCTATTAGCATTGTCGCTTTGAATCCGCCGTGTCATTTGCGCGACTTTGCGGGCTCTTAGCAAAGACCAGGGCGCTACCGACCATCGTCTAAGCCAATACGGCCCTGTGAAAATAGTTTTACGCAAATTATTATAGGTTCCTTTTCAAGCTCGAAGTGTTGAGAATCTAACCTTTGTAACAGCTTACCCCACTCAGAATCACGAAGCAATGTCGTTGTCCCCACTGGCGGGGAGACTCAGATACCCGTTGACGACCATTTGGAAAGGCGAAGTCTGCGCCGCAGCGGAGACCCAGTTTGAGCTTGCAGAGGAAACTTGGCGACATTAAATTGTTTGTCTCAGACTTAGGATGCCGTCAGTTTAAAATAAAGGTGTTGGTCTGCGATCCGCTCTCGTGCAAGCAAGGACATTGACATGGAGGCGATCGAGCCGAACACTGAGTCCGCAGCCTTGGCCGAGTGGGCGCGCATCTTCCTTTGCTTCTGGCCAGCGGCAGCAATATTCAGCTACCACGAGGTGGAGACTTACAAGGTGGAAATGTTCATTGTCAATGCTGCTGTTGCGGGCGATGACAAGGTCCTCATTCTGAGGGTGAAGCACTTAAAAGGCGAGCACGAAGGCAAAAATCAAGCCATCGTTTTGGGAAGGCAGTGACATGGACCGTGCCACAGCAGCGCGCAAAACCGGAGCGGCTGCCAGCTTGCGAGTCGTTCGACGGACTGCCGTGCAACTCAGGGCTTGGTGAAACACGCTGCTTCCAGGCATGTTTGTTGAACTGACGATGTGTGTTGCTCATGTCATTCATTTGCTTCCGATCTTCAACTATAAGACTATCAACGGAGTTAAACTCGGTGGCCCTGAGTCGCCCGATGCAGGTCGGGTGATTCAGGACTTCCGATGACTTGCCGCCCAACCTCAGTGTTGACTTCAATTGTCAATCAATGAAGTCAAGTTGGCTTGGAGCTGAAGATGGGTCACTTGCAGTCACTGGGGCTCAGTGGCACTGAGTCGCCCGGTTGCAGTCGGGCGACTCAGGGCCGCAGAGCCCCGCTGCCTTATTTTTGGACGAGTCAGTGTCAGTCAACGGGACTTGGCCGTTATTTCGCAAGTTGCTTGAGGCGTTCTGGAGCTGACAATTGCCGTTCAGCAGGCGCTAGTATGTGTTTAATTTAACGTCTTTGGTTGAACAACCTGGCATGGGCATCATTGGACCCTACTTGCTTTAAACTCATTTGTTGTTTCCATTTAAGTATGGCGAAGCACTTTTTCCCCATGGAAAACATTTTTGAGGAATCCCCCTGCGCCGGGTCACCCAGCAGTAGTGTGGCAGCAACGCAACGCCCCCGGGGTGCTGGGGCGTGCAAGCGCGAGGCGATGAAGGCGACAGTAGGATGATCCCGGCAAGGCTGCGGGACAGGAAAGACATGAAAAGTTGTCAATTTGTTCTGCAAGTGTTTCATTTCACAAAGGGGCTTCCGATCAATGCCGTGTTGTCTTAACGGGGCTCATCGGCGGTGGCTTAAAGCTTTAGTCTATTTTCGCATAGATTCGTCGGCTGCGCTGCGGTCAACCAAGGCTAATTTCGGAAAGGCCCGTCGACATTCGCGTTCGAGTTGGCAATGACCGCAGCGTCGCTGCCCGCAGCAGTTGGGTCTCGAGCAGGGACCAGCTCAATGGACGGGCAGGCAGAGCCATGGTGGCCGTTGGTGCTCGAGATTGCCATCGGCATTGTCATCTATGAAGTCTTGAAATGGCTGTTGCGATGCCTGCTGCAGAAGGCTGGCGACATGATCAGCAGCCTACCAGCACCGCCGTTGACACCCCCAGCAGACGCTTTGTCAAAGAACCGGTTTCTTTTAGGTGGGTGGTGGCTAAGGCCGCCCAGCTCAGCTGAGAGTTGGGCGTGTTGCCTCTTTGCGTTTGGAAGGCCCTCAAGATTTCATCCTCAAACGCCAAGCATTGAGCCTGAAAATTGTCATTCAAGGGTCTTTCGAGTAACGTCCCAGCTGTTATGTGCATTTGCGCCTATGTTGCAATTTGGGTTGACATTGACTTGCTTGGCCACGAAATGCCACGAAGTAAGGTCACGAGTGGGCTTAGGCAGGTGTAATAAGGTTGGCCCAAGTCCGCCCGCTAACCTGAGACTCTGCCACCCAGGACAGCAGGTGCCAATGCTGCGGCGAGATCACTGGGCCTTCAACGCGGTCCGCGACAAGCGCGTTCATCCAAGAGAACAAGAACGACCAGAAGAGACGTGACAGTGAGCGTCGTGGCGGAAAGCCGCTGTCGCGCTGGAACCAGTTTCAGAAAAACAACCAAGGCAAACACTGGTCTTCAGACAAGATGAGGGCTGAGTATTACCGGCAGCAGCTCATGTCTAGCACAAAGCCTGGAAAATAATTAGATGGCTCGCCTTGTCAACCTTCAGGCGTCGCGCGAAAAAAGGGGACGCGGCGGCGGCTTGGGCGGGTTGAAGGCCATGGGCTCGATGGCATCTTAACCAATTAACGCCCCTGCATGTTTTAGGTAATTTCCCCCCATTTTATTTAACTGTTTGACTGCACTTAATGACAATGATTGTTGGAAAACTGTTGAAAGGTAATTTTAAGTGTTCAAGATGCATCAGTAT